TTCCAAGGGCTGGTTGATTCTTCAATATGGTGAGCATCTAGTTGCTCTTGCACCAGCTGTTCCAATGCCTGTAGTTTATCTTTAGCTAGAGGCCATTGTTTGGTCCATATTGGCTTCTCAGTTAGCCATTTTAAATACCTCTAAAGGTTTGGTATTTGCTGTATGTTCTTGTACAGCCTGAATGGCTGGTGACCTTTTTCCATAATACCTCATCATATCCTTCCCAGAATTATGAGTTCCTGGAACTACAGAAATGTTAATCTGGGTATTCCATTGCTGTAGCGAGTCATGGCCCCATAAATTTATGGCAATATTGGCTATATATGGCCTTAGTCTTCCTATTTGCCCTTCGGGCCCTATGCATTCAACCCATCTTGAGCTTTGTTTTACACGAGATAGGGTTCCAATTCCCAGGAACTGAACATCTACCTCTTGAAGAGGCCAATTTGGATGCCAAGATTCTGGGGTAATGATACTTACATCCACACTTGTGTCTAATAAGCCTTCAATAAAAGTGCCATTTATACAGACTCTTAGCTTTGGTCTTTGATCATTAATAGAAGTCTGCCAAAATATACGTTTACTCTGTCCTACTGGGTTTTTTGACTCATCCTCCACACGTATTTCATCATTTAGACCAGTATTACTTTTTACAGCAGAAATTGGAGCTCTTAATTTTCTTGGTGAGGCATGTTCTCCACTGTGACTGGGAATGACTGGGCCACTGTTGGCTTGGGGGCCTGCGAGAGGCCCCTCAAGGAGTTTCCCCACGGTATCGGGTTGCCTTGTTTGTCTGTTGTTGACCTGCATTCATTGGACCAATGTCGGCCTTTACCGCATCTCCTACATATACCTGAAGGCCTAGGTCACCTATTTTTGTCATTCCCAGAGGAGATAATATTCCTAGACATTCTGTGCCTGCAATCCCTTTTCAGATGTCCTAATTTACCACAATTAAAACACCTGGCTGTTTGATGTTTCCTCATTGCTGTGGAAATCGCTTCTCCTACCCAAGGTTCATCGTTATAACTAAACGTCTCAACATTCATCGTATGCTGAATTCATTCATCCATAGGTGCTGATCTAGACTTTAAAGGCCCAATTATCTTTTTGCATTCTATGTTTGCATTCTCAAAAACTAGAGATTCAAGAAGTATTCGTCTAGCTTCTGGGTCTGTTACCCCTATGTCCAGAGCCTTAATTAATCATTGCAAAAAGTCAATAAAGGGTTCTCTCGGTCCCTGCCTAATTCTAGTATATGATTCAACCCTTTTTGCTGGATCTTGTATCCTATTCCAAGCATTTAAAGCTGCTTGGTGACATAGACACAGTACTTCATCATCATAAAGAGCTTGGACCTGTGGATCAGCATATTCTCCTGCACCAAGAATTTGATCTTGGGAAACCTCGACACCTTTTGCTCTTCCTTGCTGTTCCATATGTTTGGATTCTTCTCTGAAATAAATTCCAAACATCAAGGAAGGTCCATTATCTAAAACTGCAGACACTAACTGATGGAAATCATGGGGGATAGCTCTAACATTAGAAGCCCAAGTCCTTATGATTTCCTTTACATATGCAGAGTGCAAGCCAAAATTAACAATAGCTTGCTTAATTTCTTTTAGATCATTCATTGCTATTGGCGTCCATCTAGCTTCTCTGACTGCCTTTGAGCCTTTAGAAGTTCACGCTTTTTCAGAATTAAATAGAGGGTATGCCGCTAAAACCTTGGGTAAGCCAGTTCTAATAGCTGGTGTTGGCATTGTATCCTGTCCTTGTGCCTTATTACTCTGTTCACCAGCTCCAATCATTTCTTCAATCATTTCAAGTCTTTTTATTATTGTCTTTATTATTGTCTCTTTTGAATCCTGAATCTCCTGACCTGCATGAGTTTCTAGTAAAGATTGTATGGTTCTTAGGAGTGCCATGATCTTCCTAAATGATAGAATATTCAAAAGTATACTGAAGCCTAGTAACCAGTAAATTAAGTTATCCCCATAGTCATATAAACCTTGCATGATATAACCCATTGTATTGGCAACCAGAACAGTAAAATTTGCGTTGGAAACGAAAACTGCCATATTACCTATTACCCAGCAGGTGGCGCTGTTGCCAAGTCGCGACGAAAACAGGGTCCTGTTTCAGAGTTCGCCTAGTATTTGTTAAGAACTGGAAAATGTAAGTAGCTCAACAAAGTAAATGTAATTAAATCAATTCCAGAGACGGAACCAGAAACCCAGAATCCAGGGGTAGAGAAGAGCAACCTGGAAGCCGCTTATGCCTCCATGTGACAGAGTCACCCTGAGATGTTGCAGCTTTCAGCAACTGCGTGCTCTGGTTCGTGCCACTTAAGAGCTGTGCTTGCAAGGGAGATTTAAAAATGACTCAGAAAAGAGCAAACCACGCGGCAGAGACTACGCGGGCCTGTGGAGTTTAAATCCACGTGGGGAGGCCAAGGCCGCCAGCAGCGGCTGAGGAAGGGAGGGCTCCCGCCAAGCCGAACTCACGGCCGGCAGCCGAGCGGGGAAAGGAGAGGTTCTAAAACCAAACGTTGGGTGCCAACTGAAGGCGTAAGTCATAAACAATGCCACACCAGTTTGGAATTATGATTAATAGGGTGGTATTTATTTAAAGGGGAAAAAACTTACAGATCACCGTCAGCCCTCTGCGCAACCAGGAAGGGAGTCTAGTCGCCAGCGGAGCAGGAAGTGAAGAGAGAGAGGAGAGGGAAGTGGCCGCTTTTTTAAAGGGAGAGAGACCACGCCCCAATGGGCTGGTATCTCAGCGGCGATAGGCTGGAGGAGTGGGAGGACCTCCCGTAACAACACTGTTCTATGCCAGTGTAGGAATGGACCTGCCAGCATGAGGAAAACAAGAAGGGAAAGACCAAATCCTGCTAGGCCTGTCACTCACCTGGCCTAGAGCCCACCCTCAGTGATGCTGATCCAACTAAAGCCATGGTAAAGAGGTGGCAGGAGAAAGTGTTTTTTTACTGAGATAGAGTGCTTTTCCTTCCCTGAAATTCCTCTCTGCCATTTTGGCCATGCTCTCTCTTTATCTTGCTCTCTTGGTCCTCCTCTCACGCGCTCCTCTGCTCTTTCTTCTCTCCTGGCCAAATTGAATCTGCTGGCCAGGTTTAGTCTACTCCTTTCTCTCCCCACTGTGGACTCTTCCAGGTGCCTCTTGCTGCTCTTCCTCATACTGACAATAAAACCTTCCCCTCAAACCTACAGGGAAATGGTGATGTCCTCACTTTATTCACTGACCAAACAAAACCTATGACTCAGGACTCTTAATTATTCACTGACCATTTTGTCTTGCCCAGTTATACTTAAGCATGACATAGTCCAAAAGAATTACTGCTATATGAGAGGCACCCAAGCTTCGCCTCTACTGTAGAGAGAGACCCAATGTGAAAATCTAACTTTCATGAGCTTCAGCTCCTCTGTGATTTCTCTGTGAAGCTGCTCTCGCCCATTCAGTTTGATTCAGATTGCATTCAATGCACACCTATTCATCCCTCCTGCAGGAGCTCTGGTGTGGAGATTGATTTCAGCAGGCACACAGAAGACTTGGCAGTTTCTGCAGCACTGACCTCTGAACTGGGTCTCAGGGGCAGGAAGACAGAAGTTGAAACTAAAGAGAAGAATTTCTGTTTTCAGTCCTCGGGTGTTCCCAATTAGCCCACTTATAACTAGATCCCACTTGTCAGGTGGCTTGTTAACTTTGTCCATTGGAGTAGAAAAGCCACGCAGGAAGCAGATGAAGCTCTATCTTTCTCAGAGAAACAAAATCACAAGATAGGAGGGCAATTAGGATATGGGATGAAGTGTAGGAAGAACCAGCCTGCCCCTGTCTTGGACTTTAAAGCCATGTTATAGTAAAGACAAAATAGGTCCACTCTGCTTATGATTAAACCATAAATTTCTGTTTTCATGGATTGGGCAATGGCCACCTGTACCCTTATCTACAAATGGTTCTGTACTGCCTGTCCCAGGAATGGGAATCATGCCTTTGTTTCCAAACATTTTTTTATAACCATCTTGTAATCCTATCTTGGTTATAAAAGGTTACATGAACACCCATTACCACCTTTTGACTCCCTGTTGCCAATGACTACCCCCTTCCGCCCCCTTTACAGCCATGTCTTTCTTTCAGGAGCCTGTGATGGGCTATTGTGTAATTTATGTTCTGATCCTGTAATCCCACCTCTTTCACCTGCCATGACCACCATTTGGAAACTTCCTACCCCTGAGGTTTATAAAAATCTTGTCTCCCTCAACTGCCATGCTGACCTCTCAAACCCCACTTCAGAGGGAGGAAGTTCATGTACACAAATAAAAAAGCATGCTTTTTTTTTTTTTTTGGTTTTTCGAGATAGGGTTTCTCTGTAGCTTTGGTGCCTGTCCCGGAACTAGCTCTTGTAGACCAGGCTGGCCTCGAACTCCCAGAGATCCGCCTGCCTCTGCCTCCCAAGTGCTGGGATTAAAGGCATGCGCCACCACCATCTGGCAGCATGCTTTAATTAATTAATTTGGTCATGAATATTTGAGTAAGTGATCTTTCTCCCCCAGTCATGAGATTAGTATGTACTGTAAATAAGATAATTAAAACTGCTAAACTCAAAGTAATTTCCATAAGACAAAATATTTATTTATTTGAGAAATAGTGTCACACTGTTTATTTGAAATAAAATGGATTGAAACAAAAGGGGAACAAAATAAACTATGAATAGAACACAGAGAAATGTTATTTTGCTGGATTTTATGATTGTAATTCAGGTTTATGACTTGAGTACAAACCCACAGCGAACACTTATTTAATTTAGAATCACCCATAGTACTCCAAGTACATATAAGTATAGTCATCTGTGATAGATTTTTATTTCTGATGTCACCACAGATTAGGTGTTGATTTTGATAATTTTATAAGATAAAGAAATGAGGCTGCAGCTGTAGATAACATGTTACAGGGCTCTCATAACTGCTTTGACACAGTCTCTACACAAGCTGTGAGACTCCTGGACACTGTACAGTATAGCTGCTGGGTTTGCTACAAATCCACCTCCTAAGTATGTTGTTCCTGCCACTGCTGATCCCACTGTCACTAAGGTAGGCATATTCTCCTTCTCCTCGGGTGGGAACCCTAAAACAAAAAACAAACAAAATTTCTGCAGAGTCGGCCACTGCATTCGCCCAGCAATGATGTCTCACTCGTGTCCACTGCTTGTTTATAGCACGAATCACAGAAAGGCAGAGGCCATGAGGAATAACCAGCACTAGTGTTACACCCAGTGACTTTTCCATTCTCAGGGTTCCATTTGGTGACCACACCTTTGTCACTCATCCATGTTGGACCCTGTACTGTGTGTACAAAGCATTTGACTGCTGCCGTCTGCCATGTTCACATGAGCTTCATTCAGCCATGGGTAGCATCTAAGGATGGTTTTCAACTCTATCTTGAAGAATTTCTCACATGTATGAAAGGGGGAGAAAAGGCACTTAGAAAATTCTAAAGGTCTTGAATGATAGATGTTCACTGTTCCAGTGAAATGCTTCTGTTCAAAATGGCTATGCTTACATCCAAGTGCTATCCTGGGTGCTCTTTGATGATGAGACTTTAGAGAAGGTTCCCCAATGCCCCTGGAGTCTCTGCTTCAGTGACTAGTGCAGCTGTCCACAGAGCTGTGTGACAAGTGCTGTCCAGCAGTTGTACAGTGGCTTCCTGGGGTATCAGAGCCCTTAGTGGCCATCAGCAGTTCTGTGTGCATCCCACAAGGACAGTTAGCAGCAAGGAGAAATTTCCATGTGCTGACAGCAGAGAGCATCTACCCCAGATGCCATCATCAGGCTAAAGATTTAGAATGAAACAACACTAGGTGACTCTGAAAGATGTAAATTTGCCAGGATGTGAAGTTACTGGGGACTGGCTGTTGCATGTAACACACAACCAGCCCCAAGGCACACCTCCGGCCCAAGGGTTTCTCCCTTTCCAGTTCAGTTCTCTTCACAAGACTCAGCCTTTCACCTTTACAACCACAACTCACACAATCACAACACATGAACACAGTAGGAGGAAAAGCATTCTGAACACATACAAGTTGTTATATTCAGTGTTGTCTGTCCATATCCAAGGCTGCTCTGATGACTCTCTGTGCAGGCCGATCCAGGCGGCAAAATTCCCCTTAAATATATTCAGGAATTTCTGTCAAAAACACATAAAGCAAATACATGTGTCTCTCAGTTCCAGATGAGCCTTGAGTCTCTGTCCTACAGTGTCCTTTCAAAATGACAGCAGGTTTGAAGTGAGGGTCACCAACTTCGCAGCCTAAATAACCCTCAGTTCTCAGTGGATGCATTTTCCTATAATAACCCATAGTACACTTATAACCACCCCTCCTTCTGTGGTTGAGAAAGTTTCTTGTTAAGTCTGTAGTTACAGTTATTAACAGTTGTCACCTTAAGTTTGTAACACCTGCCAGCTGGGACAAACACTTGCATGACCACAATTCTCAAATATATGTTTGGCCTTACACGTTGTCTATAGCACTACAGACAAGAATGTCTTGGGATGTCTCAGGGCTACAGCCAGATGTATTATCATTACAAGTGGCACATGCTAAAATATGCCCTATGTACACCAATGCCTAGGGTGGGACCCATACTCATGTTTCAGCTTTAAGCTCTCTTTCTCAAAGCAATACATATTTCACAGCAGCAAACAACAAACCAACTCCCGATCCTTTCTTACCAGCTCTTCCAGACTGTCAAAGTGACCAAGATGGGCCCCCAGCTCCATGCAGGAGGTCTGGCTGGATGTCCAGTTACTTGTGTGTTCAGAAAAATAAAAACATTTACTTGCAAATCCAATCCAGTCTCTTGGGCAGGTGAAATGGCCAGCTTCAGGGCTCACAATGGCCATTTTTTCCTTTCTCACTAGAATGTGCACAATGCAAATACATATTATAAATAAATATTTCTGTGTCTTGTCTCTTTGGCTAACCATTCACTCTCCATTGTGAGGTGTGTGTTTAGACTGTACCTTTCATTACTGATCACTAAGAGACTTTTTCTAGCATGGTGGTCTCCAGTCAAGGATCTTCATGTGGGACTCTAAGGAAATTCTTCACTTCTTGTATTTTGAGTTTGGGGATAGAACCTCTCTATGTCCCTCTATCTGGCCTGCATCTCATTCTGTGGACTGTACTTGTCTGGATTTTGTAATAATCTTCCTGACTGTGCCTCCTAATAGCAGGGACTAAAGACATCATACCCTGAACAAAATCATAGTCACTACCCCATTAGGACTCTTCCTGATTGCTGGAATCCAACAGGTTCCTTTCCAATAATCCTGCTTCACGTCCTGCTTTTTTTGGTTTATTAGATTTAAAAAATGTCAATCCAAGTTCCCACTACCTCCTTTCCTCCCATTCCCTCCACATACCGTCCCACACCCTCTAATCCTCAGAGATGGTAAGACACACTGCTTTGTGGCAGGCCTTCCCTACTATATCTAGGATGAGCAAGGTATGCTCATTCCTTGCCAGTCTGACTGGAGTTGGTGAGCTCCCATTAGCTCAGGTAGACTGTTTCAGTGGGTGAACCCATCATGGTCTTGGAGCCTGGGGGTGAGGGAAAATATGTGAAAGGTGAAAAGGAAGGGGGAAGGGGAGGGTTGAGGAGAACTTGGGGAATGGGATAGTTGAGATGGAGGAAGGACAGATGAGCGCAAGGAAAGATATCTTGATTGAGGGAGTCATTATAAGGTTAGCAGGAACCTGTCTCTAGGGCAATTCCCAGGAATCCACAAGGCTGACTCCAGCTAAGACCCTAAGCAATAAAGGAGAGGAGCCCAATCTTGATTTCCCTCTAGTCAGAATGATGAATATTTTAAATATCACCATGGAACTTTCATCTAGCCACTGACAGAAACAGAAACAGAAACAGAAACCCACATTGGACAGTAGACTAAGCTGCCAAAGTCCAGTTGAAGAGTGGGAGGAATGAGAACACATCCGGCTTTTGTAATGACCAAATAAGACTCCTCACTTCTCTGGATTTAACTATGGAGAAATACTAGCATGCAAAACAAGGCATGGTCAAATAATTTTTTGATACCAAAACTTTGATTGAGGCCTTCCTGTTATCATGTGAACATACAATAAATTCACATGAATTTACGCTGGCTCTCGTTAAAGGCTGTCAGAATGGCAATTATCAAGAAATCTCACCACAGATGTCAGAACTCTTCAGATATAGGGACACTTATTTATTGCTGGTGGGGGAATAAACTGAAACATCCAGTATGAAGGCTCCTTTAAAAAATACAAACAGACATTTTGTGACTCAGCTATGCCACTCCTGGGCATATGTGAGAGAACACTATATCATAACACAGAGACCTGCACATCCATGTCTACTGCTGCCCCATGTACAATAGTAATAAAACGGACCTGACCTAGATGTCCATCAACTGATGAACAGAAAATGAAAATGTGGTACATGTGTAACACAGAAAGTTATTCAGACATAAAGAAAACTTGAAACTTGTAGAAAAGTGGGAGATCTACAAAGTATAATATTAAATAAGGTCACACAAACTCAACAAGATAGAGACCCCATATACTCCCTCATATGCTTGTCTCAGTCTGGTATGCACAGTGTGAACACCTGTGAGTGTGAGTATGGTGTAACACGTAGAAGGGAGAAAAGGGAGGGAGGCTTAAGGTGACAAGAAAGGACAGAATGCAGGCAAAGGTTCAAAGTCATAAAAATGTTATAAAGAGGATTGCTTTTATAGTTTCAACCTTGCTGGTGTTTTTTCTTATTTGTGGCTATAAGAATGTAAAAATGCAAGTACAATGAAAACATAAAACCATAACCAAAGCTCTATGGCATTAGATTGGCTCTCCTAACTGGGTGGAAGTTGAGTGAGATGCTTTGAAACTTGGTCAGTGTTTGAGTGTTTATGTTAATTGAGCCGTGTGATGTGTTCATTTGTGAGTCTATAACAACAAAGTGAGTGTGTGTGTGTGTGTGTGTGTGTAAGATTTTCTGAATGCAGGACTGCTTAGAAAAATAATATTTTTCTTTCATAACTTGGCCATTTTTTCCATTAACAGGTAAGAATGACGACTTGGCTCCTTGGATGGGCTACTGAGAATAGAAATAAATGATTTGATAAGAAATATTAAATACTAGAAATGGTGCTCAAACTTATTTTTAGTGGAGGGCAATTTGTTGTAGCTGTTCCCAGTTCTTATACACACTACCATCAGGCTTTAATGGAAGGAACCAATGCAACAGGCCCTGAGGGTGACTGTTACTTAGAGCCACAAGACAGTTCAGATTATACATACTAAGTCTTGTTGGAAAATGTTTGTCCATATTTAGACTTGTGTATTGGTCGTTGATGTGGTTAACGTTGATTTTATAAAACAATATCATGAATTCTTACTCCAGCTATGGCAGGGAAGCTGTACAAGATTTTATCACAGTATTGAGAATATTCTAAAACTAAAAGCTCAGGAACAGAATATTTCTGGAACATTCTATTTAATATTTTCAGACCATAGGTGAAGATAGTAACTGAAATCATGAATCATAGGGTGGTAGTGTGTCCTGTACCTTCCCCACCCATATTATTCGTTATTGCCTTTACTGCCTTTAGCTGTAACAGCTTTCCTGAAGCTCCTACTTTGCTTTTTTCTCCTTGTCCTCTGTCTTGAATTGCTCCCCAGGTGGACATGTCTCCTCCATCTCTCTAGAGAAATGCTTCTTCCCAGGGATGCTGAGCCTGACTTTCTGTGCACACTACAGCCTTTGCTGTTCCTTCACTGCATTTTCCTGCTAGACCCTAAGTTCCTAGAGAACAGCAATTTCCAGTGTGTTTTCTCTCTTGTCCCTCACACAGTGCCTGGCTCACAGTGCTCAGTAAGTGTAACTGACAGTGTGGATGTGGACAGAATGCTGCAGGATCTGGAGAATGTCACTCACCTGACAATGACAGAGTCACAGAAAGTGCAATCACAGCTCCAGTGAGGACGATGATCACTGCATAGCAACAGTGAAGCCTAGCAGGAGACACGGGGTAGACGATTCTGAGACATTTTTCTAGGAGCTTCTTACCTGTAAAATATGAACATAAGAATGCCAACTTGGAGAATTTCTCAAGGAAAATTAAAGAAACTTAGCACAAACACCTACTTTATAATTGCCTACAAGTATCTGAAAGAGTGCTGCAAACCCTTTTCAAAGAAGGCCCTGGTCCATAAAGGATGGCCATGGTGGAAAGAAGACCAGAGATGCCAGAAACACAACTTGACCCAGGAGTCTTCTAGTTACTGAAACTGAGGGTGAATCATGAAAGAGCAGAAACCTAAGGGAGTGAAGGTCACAGGGAAAGACAATACCAACAATTGACTAGATTTCTCTCCAGAAAGTGCTCTGGTTAGGAGTAACAGAAACATTAGGAAAAACTTCATGTAATTAGACACATTAACACACCAAGAAAAGAGGAAAAATAGAAATATCAGTGCACAGCAAAATTACATGAAAATAGGAATTAGAGCAACTTCCCCAACCCGACAAATGTTATCATCAATTAAACACAAAACAATAAATACAACTGCAGTCTGCTTCATTCCCAAGGGTGCAGTTATGAATGCTTTCCCAGCAGTAAGGAGCAGGAGTTAAATTTCTGCTCTCTACTACACGATGACTTCACAGGAGGTCCAGCCAGGGCAAAAAAAAACAGGGTCATGAGGCTAGAGAATCCCTCAGGGGTTAACATCACTTGCTGCTCTTCCAGAGGACACAGGTTCAATTCCCAGTGCTCACAAGGTAGCTTACAACTGTGTCAACTCCAGTTCCAGGGGACTCATTGCCCTCCATAGGTACCAGGCCTTCATGTGGTGAACAAATGTGCAGGGAAAAGAGCAATATACATAAAATAAGATGCTTTTTTAAATTTTTATTACTTTATAAATAATACCATTCAAAATTTCCACTTCCTCCCCTCCTCCTACACCCCCACTCACCATGCTCCCTACCCCTCCAGTCCTAAGAGAGGGAAAGATACCCTTAAAGAAAGAAAGAAGGTTTACGCATCTTAAAAACAGATGAAGTGTTTCTCATCACAGATGACATGGTTCTACCATAAAAATTTTAACAAATCTACAAAAGACTACTGGATGTAAAAAATGAGTCTACAAAAATGTATGACACAATGTCAGCATGGTGAATTTAGCTACATTTTCCTGTCCAATGGGAATTAATGTCTAAAACAACACCATTTACAGTAATGCCAAAACCCATAACATATAAATCTTAAAAGGTTCATAATCAAAAATTACATTTAAGCCGGGCGGTGGTGGCGCACACCTTTAATCCCAGCACTTGGGAGGCAGAGGCAGGCGGATCTCTGCGAGTTCGAGAACAGCCTGGTCTACAAGAGCTAGTACCTGGACAGGCTCCAAAACCACAGGGAAACCCTGTCTCGAAAACAAAAAACAAAAAAAAAATTTAAAAAATTTTAAAAAAAAATTACATTTCAAATTATGAATAAATCACGACAAGGCTGGAGAGTCAGCTCAGTGGTTAAGTTTTTCTTGCAGAGAACTTGGGTTTGATTCCAGAACTCACAGAGTAGCTTACAATTATCTAGAATTCCAGTTTCAGAAATCTGACACCCTTTCCTAACTTTGGTGGGCAATAGGAATGCATGTGATGCACAGATATTTATGCAGGTAAAACACCCATATGCATAATTTTTAAAAAATAAAAAAGGAAAGAAATCAAGGCACGTAATTGTTGCGGGATATTTGTTCACACTGGCATTCCAAGACTGCCAATAAGGTTTAATATTGAATCAGAGGTGCAACAGGCAACTACCTGACCAGAATTAGTTGAAGTCTTGAAGGAGCAAAGATATAAATAGAGAGACATTGGAAGTAGTAGGAAGGGGCTGAGAAAGATTCATGAGCCCATTTGGATAAGGAAAGAAGAGAGAGAGAAGTTCACTGGTTGCTTCTCCATTGCTTCTCTGATCAATCAGGTTTTCTGGTAAGTACAAATAACCCAGTAGTGAATAACTCTTCTGATATGATAAGTCAGATCAGGACAAAGTACTAAGCCCAGGTTTATTCTGAGGAAAACATACCTTGGTAGTCCAGGAAAGAGGACAAGCCACATGGGGAATTACATGGGCCAGACCTTAAATATCCTCAGAGGTGGAGCCGCTACTTGGCAGGTTTCCTTTGGGCAGGGTACATATCCAGGGAAGATCCCCAACAGTTGTTACTCTATTATCTGACTCCCAAGTTTTATTCAAAACACAACAATATAAGTAAATGCTATATAATAAAATAAAACACTCACTATTGCTCATATATCAACAAATCCTAAACAAGTTTATACATGTAACACAGTTTCACTTCTGGGGATGGGGTGTGAGAGTGCTTTCAGAAAAAAAAATCATAGCATCAAACTTAGGAATTTAAAAAGAAACTAGAAGAGCCAAAAATGATTCTGAAAAACAGTCGAATTCAGAGAAATCACACTGCCTAATCTCATGATTTATGAGAACAGGAACAAAGACAGCCTGGTGCAAGCAAAAGACACTAGAACAATTCAGCAGGAAAAAAAAAGGCTCCAGAAATGATATCAAACACTCATGGTCAACAGATATTTAACAGAGCTGAGTGACTTTTAGACAGGAAAGGGTAGGTCACTCCATCCAGTATGTGCTACTGAAACAACCTGGTGTCTGTGTGCTAAAAACAAGATTGTAGACCTGAGCACAAAGCTCAATGTTGTAAAGTCATTGAAATTTTATAAACTGGGGAGAATGTTTGTGAACTTGTCTTGGGCAAAATCATCTTAGATTCAAGAGTAAAATCGCTGTCTAAATAACAGGAGGTTGAATAATTAAATGTTGATATGAACTTCATGATTTTCCTTTAGAAAGGCAAACTTGTGCAGTCTCTATGAAGCTGTTTGTCCAGGAAGTGTATAACATAGTGATGTGCCCCCATCCTACCCACATACTTCATGCTGAAAAGGAAAGCCTGCATTTAAGGTTCAAGAAAAAAGAAAAAGAAACATTTATGTGAATGTTTGTAGCAGTTTTAAGGATCACTGTAAAAAATGGAACATTTACAATCATTCAATCATTCCCCAAGCTGATGACAAGGTAAACAAACCCTCTCAACACAAGAAACAAGTTGGACACAAGCCTGCACTTGTCTAGTTTATTTTTAACTGATTATATACAATTTATTTAATAAATAATTGTTATTCAAAATACAGTGCCAGAGCATTTGAACATGCCAGCAATGTTTGTCACGAGGCACCTGTGCTCACGTTGCATTGATGGTGCCACAGATCTGCTAGTGGTTCCTAAGATTAATGCCAGAGCATTGCTAGTCTGTTCTCCTGCACACTCAGTGCACACAATTCCTGCATGGCTCACCTTCCTACTCCCACCCCTCAAACATACACACATCAGGTTAAAAAAATAACACCTAAGAGATACCTATACACAATCACTGTACAGTAATTCTCGTTATTAAATTAAGATGTAATGACCTGGTTAATTCAGTCTAAACCTCTTTGACATAGAGAACGACATCGGCAGCAGGTGGTTATATGCATGAGCCAATATTAATGTAAAACAGAAGGTGGAGACATTTACTAATTAAAGATCCAAAATGACCAGCACAATGAGAGACTAGCAATTCATTTCCATGCTCACTTACAGGTCCACACCTAGTAAGTGGCCAGGTGACTGTACAACCTGTATTCTAGATGGACAAGTACAGTCAGTGGGAAGGGAATGCATGCACCTAGGAGAAGAGTGAGACTGGTCCTGCAGTCACAGCTTCCCTGTGTGATGCCACAGACCCAGAGGAGATCTTCCTCAAAAACAGTATAGCATTTGAAAGACGTCTCTAGACTGACATGAACATTAGTGTTAAGTGCAGCTGAATTATGCTAGAAAAACTATATTCCAGGGCTTTAGAAGTACAAGATTATCAATACATACACTAAAATAATTTTGGTATTACACTAGCAACAGGAAATTCCTTTTAAAAGTGAAGTTCTGGACTGTACATACACCGGGCTAACACGTTAGATAATACAGACTCTTATGTTCACATGATACACATCAAAGTCTCTCAATTATTAAATAACCTATTTCATATTACAGAAGCAAATCTTTCTGTATGACACACTGGTATATATTATACTGATGCAAATATTAAGTAGGCCATAAAATTATAATGTATCAAAGATAGATTTTTATGTACTCATACTTAGTCCTTTTATATCCTCTGGTTTAGCAAAGGATATCACTAGTCCAGCATGTCTACCCCTCAATTCCCCTATACAGGGGGAAGTGCAACCATTTCTCCATCCAGTTCAAACTCCTGAGTTCCATCTGGTGAAAAGAAGTAAGCTGGTGGCTTCCATGGAGATTTTTTAAGACCGGGTGGATATTTTCCCGCAGTGCATCGAAAATCTCTCCCTAGGTCTCACAGTACACGTTCAGATATGTGCCGCTGCAGAGACCACCGATCAAGTCCCAAATCATACTGGCAGGTGACATATTTAGCTCGATCATTTAATTGGTTTTCTCGCATAAACACACAAAGGGAATTTGAAATCACAACAGCTCTAACACAGGGATCAGAGTACCTTTTAGCAGGGATGTTGGCTGCCATTTATTTTTATTCACATCATATATTTCCAGTTACTGAAGACCATCTACAGAGCCAGAGAGGACTCCTATGCCAGAACTGGTAGCAATATGCAACCCCCAATAGAGAAAATTTTATGGCCAAAAGCTACAGCTGAAGCAAAATATCTGAAAGTCTGCCCCACGGCCATCTCTACCCACAAGTCAGACCTCGGAAAGTAACAGTACATGAGGTTCAATGTCATCACATAAATGCAGTCATGAACCACAAGGGCTGCTCTCCACTGCCAAGCACACGGGAAGGGGCTCCCCACTGTCCACTCATCCTTCTCAGTGTCGTATCTTTCTACAGTCCTCCGATTAAGTTCTCCACCAACACTGTCTCCTCCAATTGCATAGATATAGACTTCACAGCAAACCAAGGGTGGCTTCCTGAGGAAGAGCATTGGTGTCTTTGGAAAACAGGCATTTTGTTGTGCATCAAACCAGTAAAAGCAACACAGTTCTGAAGGCAGTCTGCAGTTTGCTTGTCTTAATGTGATTTGTTTTTGTGTTTTTCAAGGGTACCTGGCCCCCTGCTATGTGAA